TTACAAGTATATTCTCGTGAGTATATTGTCACAATTTTATCCTCATGAGTATATTGTCACAAGTATATTCTCACAATTATATTCCGGCAAGTATATTCTCACAAATATATTCCCGTGAGTATATTGTCACAAGTTTATTCTCATGAGTATATTGTCATAAGTATATTCTCACACGTATATTTCGCGAGTATATTCTCACAAGTATGTTCTCGCGAGTATATTCTCACAAGTATATTCTGGCAAGTTATTGTCACAAGTATATTCTCACGAGTATTTTCTGGCAAGTATGTTCTTACAAGTATATTCTCGTGAGTATATTGTCACAATTTTATCCTCATGAGTATATTGTCACAAGTATATTCTCACAAGTATATTCCGGCAAGTATATTCTCACAAATATATTCCCCTGAGTATATTGTCACAAGTTTATTCTCATGAGTATATTGTCATAAGTATATTCTCACAAGTATATTTCGCGAGTATATTCTCCCAAGTATGTTCTCGCGAGTATATTCTGGCAAGTATATTCTCACAAGTATATTATCGCGAGAATATTCTGGTAGGTATATTCTCGCAAGTAAATTCTCGCGAGTATATTCTCACAAGTATATTCTGGCAAGTATATTCTCACAAAATTGTTCTCGTGTGAATATTCTGGCAAGTATATTATCACGTATATTCTCATGAGTATATTGTCACAAGTATATTCTAACAAGAATATTCTGGCAAGTATATTCTCACTAGTATATACTAGTGAGTATTTTCTGGCAAGTATATTCTCACTAGTATATTCTCGTGAGTATATACTTGCAAGTATATTCTTGTAAGTATATTGTCACAAGTATATTCGCATGAGTATATTGTCACAAGTATATTGTCACTAGTGTATTCTCGCGAGTATATTTTCACAAGTATATTTCTGGCAATTATATTGTCACAAGTATATTCTCATGCGTATATTGTCACAAGTATATTTTTACAAGTATATTATCGCGAGTATTTTCTTACAAGTTTATCCTGGCAAATATATTCTCACAAGTATATTCTTGCGAGTATATTCGGGCAAGTATATTCTTGTAAGAATATTGTCACAATTATATTGCCACGCGTATATTCCCACAAGTATATTCTCACAAGTATTTTCTGGCAAGTATATTCTCACTAGTATATACTAGTGAGTATTTTCTGGCAAGTATATTCTCACCAGTATATTCTCGTGAGTATATTCTCGCAAGTATATTCCTGTAAGTATATTGTCACGTTTATTCTAATGAGTTTATTGTCACAACTATATTCTCACAAGTGTATTTCGCGAGTATATTCTCACTAGTATATTCTCACGAGTATTTTCTGGCAAGTATGTTCTTACAAGTATATTCTCGTGAGTATATTCTGGCAAGTATATTCTTGTAAGTATATTGTCACAAGTATATTCTCATGAGTATATTGTCACAAGTATATTCTTCCAAGTATTTTCTCGCGAGTATATTCTCACATGTATACTCTTGCGAGTATATTCGGGCAAGTATATTCTTGTAAGAATATTGTCACAAGTATATTGTCACACGTATATTTCCACAAGAATATTCTCCCAAGTAAATTCTCGCGAGTATATTCTGGTAAGTATATTCTATCAAGTATATTCTGGCAAGTATATTCTTACAAGTATATTCTCGTGAGTATATTCTGGCAAGTATGTTCTCGTGAGTATATTCTGGCAAGTATATTGTCACAAGTATATTCTCGCGAGTATATTCTCACAAGTTCTGGCAAGTATATTCTCACAAGTATATCCTCGTGAGTATATTCTGGC